AGATGTCCGGCGAGCCGATCCCCTCGTCTTTGTCCTCTGCCCGTCGCCGTTTCGGGGAGGAGCCACTGAACTCCTGCCACGAAGACGTGGTGTCAGGGGACAGGGACCGGCCCTGATGCTCTCCCCCACATCCAGACCACGTCTGGGTGACGCCAACCCCTCAGCCACCCCCAAACACAGCTCCCTGCAGGGAAGGGACTCCCTGGGGGCAATGGGAGCACATGGAGTAAACGTCTAGGGATGGATGGGCTCCGGCGCCCTGCGCTTGCCCACCCTCCTGGCTCCTCACACCCCCAGCCTTGTGAAAACCCGCTTCTCAAACCGTGACACCCCAGGCGGCTGAACCGGACCATCACAGAGCTGAAGCTGCCACTGGGCCATACCCTAATACCCCACATGGAAAATGGGACCCCAGCCCTTCTCCCCATGCCAGGTGAGGGATGTCAGGTTGAACGGGGCTCCCCTGCCCTGCCAGGAGGGTGCAAAACATCTCCATCCCCTGGCTTGTTAGGGCAGAGGGTCTTGCCCTGACTCAAACGAACAGTGACCATGTCCCCTCCCCGGCCAGCGAGGACTGTCCCATCCCATCCCATCCCGTGCTGTCCCATCCTGTCCCTGGGGCATGCACTACCTGGATGAACCGCTTGAGCTGGGTGTTCTGCTGCAGTAGCCGAGTCTTCTCCTGCTCCAAGGAGAAGATGTACTCAGCCGTCTGCTGGAGAATGGCAGCCTGTGGGAGAGCCAGGAGGGGGACACTGAGACAGGAGAGACTCTGGCAACCGCTGGAGACCCCTCCTGCCAACTCCCTCCCTGCCCAGGAGGCAGCAGCACCGCTCCTTGCCCGGCCCCGGCATCTCCATCCAGGGTCTGCTTCACCCCCAGGTCTCCCCTGCAATTTCCACCATGGTGAACCCCCAGTTTACTCGTCTTGGGAACCCGACCGGCTGCCAAGCGCCGCCTCCTCACCCCGCTCCCCTCCACAGCGGGGCCACCTCGTCACCCAGGCACACACCACCCTGCTGTCACATGCACCCAACCCACGCCGGGACACCAGGTTTGTGATGCACACCCACTCCCACCCAGCAAACCTCCCCAGAAGAGACCTCCATCGGCGGATTAATATATGCAAACATCCCCAATTACTCTCGCAGCCCCATCCTGCCTGACAAGCAACGACAAAACCCTTCGTGTGCAGGACCGGCATCTGCACCCCGTGTCGCCGTGGCCTCGGTGACGTCCCGCTCACCTTGCTGAGCTTCTCCCCGTCCGTGTGTGGGATGAGGGTTTTCAGAGACTGGAAGCCAGCATTGATGCTCTGCATCCGCCGCCTCTCGTTGCTGTTGGCGATTTCCCTGCGTATCCGACGCTCCTGGTCCCGCTGGGTCTCCGGAGTCAACGGGATGTTGGCCAAGCTGCGAGAGAGGCACGGGGTTAGGCAGGAGGTGGTTTACTTTATGTACAGGGCTAAGACCAGCAGCAGACAGGGAAATACTTCACAAGACATTAAGTGTTCACGTCTATTTTAGGCCACTTCTGTGTATTAGTCTGCTCATTAAGAGTGCTGAAAGAGAGGGTACGTGTTGTAACAGAAAAGCAGATCCCAAGACCTGTTCAAAACACATTAAATAAAACCAGCCCACAATGACCTAAGACAGCAAGTCACCCACACATCTAAATGACAAGGGGTGAGGAAAACCGATATTCTTCAGTTGGACAATTCTGCCAACACTGAAAAATGGGATCATTAGAAACGCATATCTCCAATACATCTGCTTGACAAGATGTAAAGCCAACTGCTATTTTTAAGTGTATGCATGCAATTTCATTTGAGAGTTAGATCTTATGATTTATTAGATTGGCTGGAAGGAAAATGCCAGTACCATCCATTGACTTCCAAAACCAGGCACATGATAAAGACTAGATATTATCGCATTCATAAATTAAAGTTCTCTCCTCAGCAGCAAGCCGGGATGGCGGCGAGGAGGGCTTTGGCCGGCCAAAGCCAACACCCGGGCACGGGTCCAGGGCACCCGAGCAAAGCCCACCACCATGGGGGTCCAGCTTCTTTGCCCACAGCCCACTTCTTCCCTGAGACAGCCCAGGGAGCAGTGTGACTGAGCCCTGGCAAGGGTTTTGGATCACGGGGATGGCAAGCCCTCCAGGCAGTGCCCAGCACCGGCAATTAGTTAATAAGCCGAGGGCCAGGGTGATAGCTGCCCGTTATGCCAAACCAATGTGACCGATAGCCCCTGCCACCCACCGGCCATCTCAGCTCCCTGCTGCTACCAGCAGCAGCTCTCTCCAGGGTGCACGCAAGCACCCAGCACCCACCGGCCGCACGTCAGGCACCGGTGCCGGGCACACAGCGAGGCACTGAAGACTAAACACAAGGGGCAGGCTGCTGGCACGAGGCGAGATAAGACAGGCTTTGGCTCCCACCCTGGTGCCCAGCGGCTCCCGGATGGGGAGACAAGACCGTCCTATGCAGCGCCTTGCCCACACTGGGGTGGAAAGCAAAGTCCGGCTTCCTGCCGTCCCGGCGAGGCCATGGAGGAACCATGGAGGTTTGGGAGCCCGGGGGTCTATGTGGTAAAGCCAAGCCCTGCTCACAGCATCGCCGTGTGCCCAGGCAGCGACCGGAGGCTCCCAGGCCACCCATCGCCTGTTGCGACTGGGGAACACACCGTGACTCCTCTGAGATACAGGGGATGGGGAAGGATCCCAGCTCAGCCCAGAGGGATGGCGGCACAGGGCTCCCATCAGGTGGCCATCACCTGCCTCCCTGCTCCTGCCAAAACCCAGCCCCAAACTCAGCCCCAAAACGTGCCAAAACTTCAGCAGGTCTTGGGGATACCATCCCCTTTCTACGGGCAGGCTCCGTCCCCTGGCACACCGATGTCTGGTGGGGCACAGGAGGTTGCCATGCCGGGGTGTCCGACTGCCAGCTGTGGCCACGCAAGGGGAATGGGACAGAGAGGCCCAGGACTGGGCAGCACGGAAGCGGTTTCTTAAATACCGGGGAAGGAGGAAGAGCCTGCTTCCTTGCCGGCAGACCTCCCGCAACCTGCCCCGGCTGCTCTTCCTGGGAAGAGACCCGAGAAGTGACAGCTACATACGGAGAGGGCGAGAAGAAACCACGGATTCAGAAGCTGAGCTGGCACCTAGCACCGCTGAGGACGGGGCAGGACAGAGGCGGGGGGAGCAGATGGCACCCACAGGAGCTCTGGCACAGCAGAAAAGCCCCCGGGGTGCCGCCAGCCCCGTGCCATGGGGTGCCATGGGGTGTGGGTCGGTGGAATAGAATTTGGTCCATCCCGCCACGGCGGCAACGGCAGCTCGCCCGGACCTCGAGGGAAACAAGGGGAGTGACAGAGCCGCTCCTTTGAGGTCAAAGAAAGGGTGTCCCTGAGATCACAGGCAGGGTATCCCCGAGCTTTCGCAAAGGGCATCGCTAAGCGTGCAGAGAGGGCGTCCCCAAGCTCGAAGGCAGGGCACCCCGGAGCTCGCGGCGGTGGAAAGGCAACAAGGCTCCCCCAGAGCTCTGCCCCATGCCTGGGGCAAGTGTAGCCTCCAGCAGGACAGCCATGTCTCCCTGCCCCACATAGTTGCCCTCCCACCCAGGCTATGGGTCCACACTGGACCATAACCTCCCACAGCAATTCACATGGCGAGACGCAGTGAAGCTGGGGCAGACCCTGCCCCAAAGCCGCGTTTCCCCTCCGGGGGGCCTCAGATGTGGACACCCCCCGAGCACCCCTCACCCCAGGTGCGCCCGTGGGGCAGCGGGGAGATGGGGCAGGGCTGTGGGGTCCCCCCCAGTGCAGGACTGGCCCCGGCGGGGAGCGTGTGGGCTGGGGCAGGGCTGACTCACGGTGGGGTCTGGGCTGCCCCACACGTGTAGTGGGGCCTGGCCACTGTGGGCTGCCCCACGGGGACCCCACGGGGCTGAGCTGCCCCATAGGGAACCCACAGGGACTCCCTGAGCCTCAGCTGCTCCACCGGGACCCCACGGGCCTGAGCTGCCCCACAGGGACCACAGAGGGACCACAAAGGGACCCCACAGGCCTGAGCTGCCCCATAGGGAGCCCACAGGGACCCCACGGGCCTGAACTGCCCCACACGGACTACAGAAGGACCACAAAGGGAGCCCACAGGGACCCCACGGGCCTGAGCTGCCCCACAGGGACCACAGAGGGACCCCACGGGGACCCCCCAGGCCCCTCGGTGCCCAGGCGGCCCCCCAGGCGCGGCAGGCCCGGGCCGCCCAGGCCCA